AGAAATGTCAGTAAAAGTGACGTTTACCCTGAGTTTGTGCCTTTCTGACCACTTGATTGACAAAAGCTTGATTATTTGGTCTCTGCTCTGCTTTGTTTGCCAGAGGGAACAGGAGGAGAAAGTAAAGTCTCTCAAGCAGGGGAAGGAAGGATGGCAACATGATGGAGAGGGATGGAGAGCAGAGCACCAAGCTGAGATGGGGACGACACAGGTAGTTGAGAGGTGGTTGGTCTGCAGAGAAAACAGGACCACCTCACTGGCACCTTGTCTGACTCCTGCCCCCTGATCATTACGCTTCAGCCTGGAAACCCAAGCAAGCAGCAGGCTCAGGTGCTGGAGCAACTCAGAAGAGCAGAGAGAGCACCACAGAGCCATGCTGAGAGCAAAGGGTGAGGGACCCTGCCTAAGGGCTGGAAAATGGTCCCAGCTTTTTCCTGCTCTCTCATCAACCTTTTGACAACCTTGATGAGGGCTGAGACAGGGTTGGGAAACTGGAGCAGGAGACTCTAGGCGGAAAGAGCTTGGGTCTATGAGGGGAGATGGAGGAGAGAAGGAAGGGAAGACTGGGGAGGGAGCTGTCATCACTGCGAGACATAGGCAGAGCATCAAGCTGTGAGAAAGGAGCAGAATTACATTTCTGTATGGAAATGGATGAAGGAGGCAGAAAACGGAGCTAGTGAGGAGTGTGTATGGGGGCAGCTCCATCCCTTTCAAACAGAACAACACAGAGCTTCCCAGAGAAAGACAGTACATTGTCCTGGCTAGAGTGTGATGTTCAGTGCTAGTAAATGCTAAGAAATAGTGATAATAAAGCAGTCTTGGAAACCTCTAAGTCAAAGGAACATGCACCATGCTAGTAACCAGCAGATGGTGATAGCTGACAGCTATCAGTTGTGTCAGGTTATGAATTGGAGAACTTGAAGGTTCAGATGTCTTCTTTCTTTTTTTCTGAAACCTCAACTGCACGGAAAATCATTGAAAAAAACAGTTAAAATAGTCTGTATTTTATTTCCATTACCAAAATGCATAAATAGTACAAAAATCTTCAGTCCACTGAATGTGGTTCTGTTGGCTTTAGTATTTAATTCTTCACACCTTGGTTTCAAGAGAGGTTCTTTCTGAAGACTCCCACCTCATTGAGATGCTCAGGCATGTCTGGGTCTGCCATAGGTATTGAGAACTATCTCCTCAGTAGTGCCACCTAGGACATTCAGTAGAAAATGATGAATGGCAGCTAACATTGATGAGGTTTATTAGACTATTGAATCCCAATTCTTAGTTTTCTTTGATTGGGAGGAGACTATGTGTATGTGAAAAATGATTGTTGTTGGAAGCACTATTCATAAGGGAAGTTTTACTACGATTGCATAAAATAAATGTAAAATACATGGGATGGTTAGGCAGAGCTAGCAAATTTGGCTGTGTCTTGCCTGTCCTTCAAGCCATTGCAAAAGAGAAGGTTTCCTCTCAAAAGTAACAGAGGTGGTAGGTTAGAAAGTAGTTTCTGTCTAAATTTATTCCCCAACATGCAGCACTTATTTGAGTGTTTCTATACCCTCTATGCAAGAGGAACGAAAGAGAGATCTCCAGAAGACCATCCAGATCTTATGTTATCTTCAAAGTAACTAGCCTAAGATGAGGATTGCTCTCTGAACATGTTGTTCCTGCTTCAGTGGCCATGGAGGAAGCCTTAAGTTAACCGGGTGCCTAACTTAACTGCACCACTCTAGTCCTCAGTGACGGGACTTTCCTTCTGTTGAAATGATAACCTCACTGAAACCTGTGTCCTGGCTGGTGAACGCATCTAGTGTCGCATAGCTCCAAATAGGTTTAAGTGTCTGCTTACCACCCACCTTGGACTTGCCAGTCAGGCACAAGCACTCAGGAACAACACGAGATCTTGTTCTTTATTGCAGATCCTGAGCGACACTGTCCTGACTGTTGGCTCCAGTGACTGCCCCGCACATGGCCAGAGGGCTGGTGATGGCCATGCCAGCACTGGCCCTATAGGTTGCTTCAGCATGAAATCCTACTGTAAACATGGAGATGATCTCCCAGCCAGGACTGACGCTATAGTAAAAGCACCTGGAGTTCTTGACTCTCCTCATTTTCCCTTGCTGAGGGTAAGTTTTGCATTTGAGTTTCTCTTCTCCAGGGGGAATTAATGATTTTCACAAAACTTCTCTGAAGGTTTCTAACTAAGAGGATATGAATGAGAGGTGCAATAAGCATTAACAAAACCCCACTCATCAGAATTACATCTGTTTCTCTCATAGAATTACTGTTCTGCTGCATGATTCTTAATAGCAGCACTTACCTGCACTGTCCAGCTGAGGTGGAGACAGCAGAGTAAATATTGCAATAAGGATGAATGCCAATATGTCACACATACATTTTTAAAGGTATCTGCTGTATTAACCTGGGTTATTCAAACATGATTTTCTTTTTTGGGAGCCTGAAAACAGCACAGCAAAATGGCATTACTGACTTTTTTTTTCTTTTTCTTTTCTTTCTTTTTTTTTTTTTAATTTTAATTATCTTTCTGTGTTTCAGGGCTGGAATGTAATCATAAAAGTTAACACGTCTCTTCAGATTGTTCTTCTTTCTGTAAGCACGGCTTCATAATGGAGATTTAGTGGGCTGTAAACAGGATGTCGCACGGTGCTCCCCGTCAAAAATTAATGACAGCAATGAAGATTAAACTATCCTTCCGTGAAAACACAGCACATATACAGGGAGATGTTTGCAAGCAGGCTTAAAATAGGCCATTCCCTGGGGACAGCCTGCAGAGCTTACAGGCTGCCCCCTCTTTCTGGTGAAATCTCCATCTGCCACAAAGGGGAGCTGTGTGTGATTCCTGAAAAAAAAACAAAAACCATGCGGCACAAAGGGAGGCTTTTGTTTCCCTCCCTTCCAGGTGGAAGCTCTGCACACCCCTCGGAAGCTGCCTGTGTCCGTGTGGCTCCCCGCGGCACTGCCGGGCTCCTTGAGCTGCCCTTCGTGGCCCGGGCCTGGCGCGTTTCGCTCCGCCGGGACTCGCTGCAGGGATCCAACCCTGCGCATTCCGCCGGCAGGAGGGAAAGGGAGAAGGGAGAAGGGCTTTGCCACCTTTTTAAACCCCAAACCTTCTGCGTAGCTATGCGTAGAAGGCTACTACTTCATCATCTGCTCCTGCTTTTTTGTTTTGTTTTGTTTTCTCTAGATGCAGCACGAACGTGTCCTGCTTCCCGAGACAGGTCTGTTCCGATGCCGGCTAGTTCGGATTGCCTGGCGCACCGAGCAGAGCTGTGTCGTGTGAGCCGTGGTTTTCTGCAGCGCAGCTCCCACGAGGATGCTGTGGCTGCTCCTATTCCGTGTTTTTGGCAGTAGGTGGCTGTCTGCCTCTGCAGAGGCTCAGCCCAGGGCACAGTGTTCCCCAGGCTGCTTGCTTCTCCATTCCCCAAACCTGTTTTCCATATTACTGCTCAGTAAGGATGTAAATATTAAAGAGAGGATTTCACGCCTTCTGCAAGGGCATGGCTTTCTGCATGAATCCATTCTTGCTATTGGGGAGAAAATTAGGAAACTACATCTTGGAGGGAAGACGTCATCATCATCTTTTATTCCCTTATGAAAAAGCTAGCGCCAAAATTCCTACTCAAAAATCTTTGTGTTCTCCCAGCTTTACCAGTTATTGGTTAGGATCCTGAAAACATCAGGTTTGGAGGTTTCTTTAGTTTTGAAATCCCTCTTTGTTTTTAATCTAGTGAGCAGGGCCGTTTTTTTTTTTTCCCTTTTTTTTTTCTCTGTCATATTCTATATTTTCTCTAATGTGGATCCCCTTGTGGATAGATCTTTGTAGCTGTATAATCCTTTGAGGAATCTACACCTGGGAAAATGTAGCTTTCTCCCTTATTTTTGAAACCTGATGTCTAAGTACTTAGTGTGTTTTTGTACACTTAGAATATACGAGCTCCTAGAAGCTAAAGCAGAAAAGAGATAACGATGCTACTACCTCCACCTCCTTGCAAGTGGAGCACAGACCTTTTGTACAGACTGGTAATGCACTGAACCTTCAACACATGTGGCTGTATGAAGCCAGGACACCTAAAGTTTTAGTATTTGCTAGAAAAGTTTGAAGCTCCATCACTATAGAGAAGTTACTAAAGTAAAAACTGAGAATTCCAATCTCTTTAAAAAGATCTCTGCTCCTTCAATGCTTCATGGAGAATTGCTTCCCCGATACAGTAACTTTTTCAGTGAGCTGTAAATATTGTTGTTGTTGCTCGTCTCAGAAATTAACTGAGCAGCTTTAATTCTGTTCAAGTTATCCCAACCAGGACAGTGTGCAAATTTCTGTTTTGGCTTTTCAGTGGATACTCCTGCATTGGGGCAGAGGTGACCTCTGATGTCCTGGGTTAGGGAACCTCTCAGGCTTCCCAATTTGGTGTTTCAAGTGTGCACTCCAACTCTACACCTATATAGGTGCCAGTCCTACCCCAGCTCTGGTTTCCCCAGGAAGGAAAGCCCAGCTGGCTGGGGAAGGCAATGAACTTCATGGAGCCCAGGACCCTGATGAGCTGCAGCGAACAGACCTGGATGAGTCTGTGACTCACCAGAGCATTAGCTATGATGTTTCTTCAACAGCTACCGGTGTTTGTCTTCAAGCCCAGCCATGATTTTGGCCTTGTTTTTTCCTTTCCTATGGTAGCTTATGGCATAGGCAAACGATCAGCACAGAGACTGCTTTGTGGGGCTGCTGGTCCTCTCTTACTTGTTCCTGAGTTTGCTCTGGTAGCGGCCAATCTCTTCCAGTCCTGTATCGGACATGGCATTTTGGAAGTTGTTGTCCTTGACACGTGGAAAGGTGTCTTTAATGAGATTTTTTCAGAAAAATAGCTGATTCTACTTTAAATGCTAGGCTATGATCTCTGGTCTTCCAGCTGTTTTGGGGAGAAGTAACTGGGAGTTAACTACCCAACATGGATTCACTAGAGGATAAAGTGAAGGCAAAATAGCACCTTCTATTCCACGGGACTTCTGTAAGCATCATCTAATGCAGTGTGTGCTTCTGCACTGTGTGATCTGCCTGCACAGACCTTCATCTTCCACCACACACAGACACACAGTCAGTTTTCCCCATGCTAGCCACTATGTTGAGATCAGGAACATAGCTCCAAAATACACATTTTTCTTCTCTGGATTCAGTCCAGAAGGTTTGATTAAGTTCTGTAAGCTGTGTGGTGTCTTGTATCTTTGAGGAGGAACACAGCTGGGATGTAAAACACCTACACAGTGGAGTCATCTCAGTTCTGGCACAGATGGAGGATTTGTTACTCATTACATGTGTCCAAGTGATCTGCTGCTCCTGTCACGGCCCAGGCATGAGGTAGGACTGTGTCAGAGAGCAGAGTGGTGGGTGGCCTATGGAGTCATAAGTACAACATGCTCCAAATGGCAGTGAGGTGAAGTCTGTTGTGTGCATCACCAACAGTGCCTCCATATTTTGCTG